CGGGGCGGGGGTGCGGGCTGCGGGGCAGGCACAACACACTACAACACAAGCAGGTGGGCAGGGCACGCGCATTCGCGACCATTAGCAAAGCTTCAAACAGGAACAACACAGTGAGACACAATAAAACTTTGGTATTATTAGACACGACAAGCTTCTAAGCAAAGGACAGGCCGGGCATGCTCCCTCTGTCTCTACTGCAATTCTAGAGGCTAAGGTGACGGTGTGGACCGGTGCCAGAGCAACTGACTAATGGAAGGTCAAATTCAACACATAAATTAATGGTACATAATCCTACATTGATTCTGAAAACAGTGGGTGTTGTCTTCATCCGTGCAAACTTTATCCTAGGATGATATTGAAAGCTGCAGAACATGGGGGTATGTAGATACCAAATATAAAACAAAATTGCAGCTGAAAAGGGGTTCATCAGCGATAAAGATATCAATTGACACCCCTTTTCATTTCTTACAGTTAGTTTAAAACGTTACCCGGGCTCACTGGACAGAAGGATCAGGGTAAGGGGGGTATCGGAAGGGAAGGCCAAGGCCAGTCAACGGGTTAGAACTCTCAGTGTGCACGTACCACAAGGCAGCCTGTGCGTTTCATGTGACTTCTCACTGGTGGTCGAAAGCCGGCTGCCTCACGAGGCGCGGCTAAGGGCCAAGACAAGTCCGTCATTTAGTAAACAGCTTTGCCGAACGGTTCAAAATACATGTGGTTCCGAAAATGACGAGTGGGTATTTCATATATCCTGGATAGAAACGTTGCCAATATATACATTTTAAGAAGGGTATCGCATTTGAATGAAAATTTTAGGATTGTTGTTACGGATAACTACAAGGGCGAGAGAGAAAAGTTTCTAGTTTGTGAGCATTCGTTTTGAGTAAGGGAGCTGGCAAAGCACACTCGCATTCTCTAGAAAGCGAAAGAAAAAAAATGAGAAAAAAAACAACAATGCGAAATCAAATGAAACTTACATCCCACATTGAGAGTGGTTAAACGGCTGTTTCAAACGTACGGTTTGGGACCGCCGGGCTACGTGTGATAACGGGCTGCGGGGAGGGACAAAAAAGTTTCAGGTAATTGTCCCCTTTTTCCTCTACCCTAAAGATCTACTATGTACCTTCAAGCGAAATAATCGTACAAATAAAACAGTACACGGAACGAAACGTGAAATAATAAGTCAACTTCTACTTGAAATCGGAACTAATAATGAAACATTGCAGTAAAGCGTGGGTGCAGAGGGGTGCACAGTAATAAGTAAATCTGCTTTCGATCCACTCATGCAACAAAACGACCAGGGCAAGGCCAACAGATCATCAAATAACTCTGTACCCATTGCTGTACGATCGTACTGGAGCAGTGCAAAATACAGTCATAAAAATCGAGTTTCTGACCGTGGAGTTGCACTTAATGGATTTTGATACCCCTCCTCTTGCAGGGGGCGTCCGTGCGCCGTCGCGCAGCCGTGCAGCTCGGCCCTGCACTGCCCCCCCCCCCCCGCCTCCCCTCCCAAATAGTGCCCCGGCGCTGTCCATTTGCTTTATTACTGTTTCAGCGCAAAATTATCTGAAAACAACAAGAGGGGAAGAGAGAGAGAGACGGAGAGATGGCGCCAGGACGGAGGGCTGGCTCCTACCTTATTGGGGGCGTTCTGAATGCCGTGGAAGGGCAGGTTTTCGTAGAAAGCTTTGCCGTCAGCATCCGGCTGGAGCAAGGCGTCGTTGGCGGCATTGTTCCTGTCCTTGGCTTTGTCCATGCCGATGGAGGGGTTGGGGCCTGCAAGCAGACGGCGCAGCGTAAGACAGTCGTCGGGGGGGAAACTTTAGGGTGAGGCAGAAGCGTGCGCAAAGTTGGACGTGATGGCCATTTTCATTTTGTACAGAGCAGCGCGCCGCGAGTGGCACCTCGCGTCGGTGGCGTAGGGGGAAAAGTGTCTTGAGAGCAAGAGAGACAGCAGCGGCAGCAGCTCCTGCACCCCTTCTCTCTCGCTCTTTCACTCAGAGAGAAAGAGAGAGTCCATGAGAGACCGTCTATCCCCTTCCCTCGCACTTTTCTCCCTAGGCCAAAGCTTCAGCCTCACGCAGGTGACCCACGCCACTGTCGAGAACTTTCTGAGAAATCTGCAGAGAGTACAACGACAGCGTCGGGGTCAGAGCCCCGCGAAAAACATCGCTTTTTTCCCCGCTACGTATGATAATTTACAGCTGAAGTGAGTATTTTCTACAAAGAAAATGCACCTTCTTCCACCCCGCCTCCAGAGATAAGTAAATATATACACAACAGAATTTATAATATACAATTTTAAAATCTGCTCCCGGTAGAAAAAATAAAATTGGTAAAACAAAAAAAATATATGATAATCAACGAACTTAAAAGTTTAATTTCATTTAAAAGAACAGAAAATGGTGAAGAAATAAGGCAAGTCTTTTTCAACTTGCCATTTTCCTTCGATTGGTTGCCTCACCTGCTCCCGGCTTCTTGCGCTTTCTAGAGCCACCGGGATTCGCCGACTCGTCTAGCCTCTTGAACGTGACCACTAACATGACAACATGGAACACAACAGACCATGCAGAGTTACGGACAAGCGTCTATAAACGATATGAAAAAAAAAAACACATTTATCATACAAAATATGAAACCCACAGGTTCCCTCGGTGGGGTGATGAAGCATTCCGGAATATATACAGATGAGGTGAAAAGCGTAGGTGCCAATGCAAGCAGGTAATAGAGTGGCTCAATTTGACGGCACTTGAAGCGGCATGCCATGTACAAAGCGTGCGCCTGATGCTGACACACAGTTTGCACCTTTCAGATTCATTCAAGCAAAGCTACAAACAAGACTTGCTACGTACATACTGGTAAGAGACAGGCGGGAGAGCAAAATGTACAAGGGCACACAAAGTACACAGTTCACCGCAGTTCACTCTGGAAACCCAAGTTTCTTGCTGCTCTTCTTGTGTAAGCGTCCATGCGACCCAGACCAACGTCGCCTGCACTTTCTTCTTCCATAGAACCCAGCACCATTAAAACGGTATGTGATGATTTCTTAGGCAGAGGGGGTGCGTCACTGTGCTGGGGGAACCCTCCACCTCGTGAGTACCCTGCCGGGCCGGGCTGGCGGACCCCTTACCTCCTGACTTGCTGTGGAACACCCCGGGCAGCGTGTCCCCCCTCTTGGAGCTATAGCTATTCCTGCCGTTCTGGTCGCAGTTCGAGAACATCTGCCGGATCCGGTTGGCCCTGGAGTGCTGGTTGGTCTCGTCGGCCGGCTGCAGCGGCTGCGGCTGCAGCGTCGTCAGGCTGGCGGCGCGCTTTCTGCGCTTCTGCTTCTTCGGGCCGGTGGGGTCCAGCGCGGGGGTGCTGCTGCAGTCCGCGTTGTTGTTGTTGTTGGCCACGTTGGTATTGTTATTGTTGTTGTTGGCCTCGTTCTCGGGCAGGCGCGACAGGCTGAGGCTGTGCGCGCCGTTGACGTGCACCATGACCCCCGGGCGCAGAGGCCACTTGCCCTGGCGGCCCAGGCGGCCCGCGGCGCTGCCGGGGCTGGCGGGGCTGGCGGGGCTGGCGGGGCTCCCGGCGGGGGAGGCGGCGCCGGGCGAGGGGGCGCCGTCGGGTGGCGGGGCGCTGGCGTCGCCCTCGGGACTGGCGGGGTAAACACACACACACACACGCACAAGGTGACTACGGGTAAAGGGGTCGAGTCTGCGCGGCGACCAGCCCAACGCTCCGCCTGCCTCTGCCCCGCAACACAGTGCCTATACGCCTTGGCGTTCGCTCACAACGTGATTGGGATTTAAATTTTCAGGAAAAGTTCAAGTTTTTCGAAAATTGAAACGTTTTTTGCCGGAATTTTTCGGTAAAATTTGGAAAAAAGGCTATTTTTTTTTTGCAGAATTTTTGTTTTTTCCCTGTATTCCGCAATTTTCCCTTTTTTGAAAGGCCCTCAATCCGCAACTAGGCCGCAGTCCTCTCTATGTAGAAAATGTCTCTGACACAATTTTTAGCCACTGATTCGCTGGACTTTTACAGGCCGGACGTGCAAGGCTCTTACATGCCAGTATGGTGGGTTGCATACGCGCTGGCTCGCAGGCGCTTTCGGGAACGCGCAGGATTTCGCGCATACCCCGTGGAACCGCGAGCACCCACGCAACAGGATTTCGCGCATCCCCCGCGGTTCCACGGGGAGGCTCGCGGTTCCGCGAGGGATGCGCGAAATCCTGCGCGCTCCCGACAGCGCCTGCGAGCCGGTGCTTATGCAACCCAATGTACTGGCATGTAAGAGCCCCGGTATATGCATCATTGAGTTGCAGTGCGAGCACAGTCGGAACGTTCGTGTTTCTTGTCTCGACACGAGGACGGTCGCATCCGACTCGAAAGATGTTGGTAAAACGAGCATGCCTCACTGAGGGGCGGGGAACTACACAGATTTTTAAGTCGATAAAAGAACTAGCATCTATCGAGACTTATTAGCAGTGGGTGGGGTAAAAAGAGTTTTAAAACGTACTACAATTCCAAAATAGTACCGGTGTCAAAAAGGCAAAAAAGAGTGAGCTGCTTTATTAGGATTGTGAGTAAAGCAGGATTTTGTACAGTTAGAAAAACGTCGAATACATAAGGAAGGCGTTGGATAGAATTGAGAAGAGATTTTAGGAGTCGAAACTCTTAAAATCATGGAATAAAAGAATATTTGACAGAAGATACTTTTAAAGGAGTCAGTGCAAATGAGAAATTCTCTGAAATTCTTTATGCAAACGTCAATGACGCGTTCAAATAAATTCTTTGAGGAGTGTTTTCAAAAAATGGAAATGAGTACTTGGCGGGAGCTCAAGCTGGCCTACATCAAGACAAGGCATTGCACGCTGCGTGGGATGGGGTGGGATTATGCGGCGAACAAAGGACCCCAAAAGGAACCATCTCGATCAGGAAAACAAACCACAAAATCTGTCAAAGTTGAATCTAATTTCGAAGACGGGTAGAAAAATTAAGTTTAATAAAACGGGTGAAAAAGTATAGGAAGATGTTATATCGGGGATCACCAATAATCAAAACTGGTACCAGAAAAATAAGTTAAGAGAGGGAGAGAAATGCGCTTGAAATGTACTTACTACAATAACTGTTGGCCATAGAGATTCGCCACGAATCTCTCATAGCTGCATAAAAATGGCAGACGCAAAGAATTGGTTAGTGAAGAGTAGAGTTAAGCAAAAGCAGGTCAAAATAGACAGGGGCTGCCTGACAACGACTGTGAACAGGGGACAATAAACGTGACAGGCCTGAGGGTAGGTAGGTACCCTAGCAGATTAGTAGAGGGTGGGGTAGGGGAAGGGCTCGCGATAACTGGAACTAGCGCGCTCGGAGTACTAGGTTGGGGAAAAATGTATCCCATAAAGCGCTTTATTCGCGCGAAATTGACAAACGTCTGGAGTCTGAGTTTTGCCGCTGTTAAAATCGTCGGTGAAAGATTCATTTCTTTGAGAGTCTAGTAAACAAAGAGGAACTTACTTTTGTCTCTCTTCCAGCTCCACGGGGTTATTATCTAAAAAAGAAAGTTGGAGAAGCACAATGCATGAGTTCGTTAGTAATAAAAGAACAAATAATTAAGATTTCCTCCATTGGGATAAAAGTTATTAGTTCCCATTGAAGACAGGAAAAAAAAAGTCCTCGAAAATACCAGTCAAACACACAACAAATGAATGCACAAGCTCCAAAAATACTTCACTCGATCTCATTCATAAGAAAGAGTGCCTCAGCGACAAAATGCACTCAGGAAAGCAACTCTCCCGAATATCGATACCTAAGATATAACTGTCTCTGCGTCTCGAGCATCATGCTTTAAGTAAGGAATAATACTTCAACGGCTACGGAACCGATGATTGTTTCTCACTAGATACTTTATAGAAGCCTACCGATACTTGCAAATGACGCAGGCTTCCCCACTTGTGTAAGAAGAGTGGGTCTACAAGTTCCTCACAAGTGCCGTGGGACAAAATAAGTAAATCCATGCACAAGCAAGACCTCACGAAGTAATCCCTACATGCCCGCATGGATGAGGTAAACATACATACGTTACTTTTGAATAAGTGAAACATGTCTATCAAAGTTACGGTTTATTTAAATTGCTCATGCTGAGAAACTGAACCATGGTTTCAACAAAAAATATTTGGTTAGAAATGCGACACGTCATCCGCCTGAAGCCGAGAGAAAGTAGTTAGCACTGATTGTTGAAGCAAACGCAGTATACAAGAATTCTGAACCGACTTACCTTTTAGGTGTTAGAGGATTTAGCATGAGATTCAAAATTTACCTCTCGGCATGATGACTAAAAATAATGTCGGTATACCGAAATGTAAAAGACGAAACTGAGTGCCGAGGAACCAAAAATTGTTGATCACCCCCCCCTTGTTCCTACTACACAATATGACCTGTTTCCTTAGAGTCTGGCGGTCATCGCCTGGTCGCTACTCACATTTATCCGCGGCCCGCTTGCGACGGCACACCAGGATGATGATGATGCAGATGATGAGGACCATGATGATGGTGCTGATCACCACGGCGATAATGATGACGAGGTTGTCGTTCTCCAGGCGCTTCCACCAGCTCAAGTTACCTGCGGAACACAGTCAGTTCGTGATTGCCCTGAAGCGTTCAAGGAAGAAAACTACTGATGCACGTCTATTTTCAATTTGTAAAAATGTTTGAAACATCTCTTTTATACCAAAGTAAGCGTCATCTATAATGGGACAATAAAGACTCGAGCTCAATGATTGACCGCCCCCTTCCTCCTTCAGCATCTCTGCCCCCCATCATTTCATCCCCTCGGCCCACCTCCCTGCTCCACCTTCTTAAACTTTGCAATGAAGTTATAATACCAAAACATCGCATTAGGGAAGAAATTAATCAAAGGAAAGAAAAAGAACTTTGAGAGGAGCGGAGCAGATTGAGATTGAAGTGATTAATTGTGTCGCCCTCTCGCGTCAAGAGCAGAGGCCAGAGGAGACGTCAATATTGCCGACGATCAATTACCCTATGATTTGACTTCTCTTTTTCTCCAGCTAATGTCTTATGGAAATGTGCGTACGGCTCGATCAAAATTGAGAGTCAACCGCTAAAAGCTATGGTCAAGCTATGTTATATTCAGTTAAGAACGGGCGCTCACACCTGCGCTCAAGGCGGGCGCGGGGGGAGGGGAGTTCGAAGGGAGAGGACACTGCGAGCGAGGAGTGCCCCCTCCGCCTCCCCGCTCACCCCTCGCCCGCCGTGAGCGCGGGGCGTGAGCGCGCTCTTGCCCAAGCGCGGAGCACTCGTTTTTAACTGAATATAACACTAACAAAACTACAAAAAGCAGGCGAGACGTATGTTTGAAATGTCGTCAAAAAAGCGGAATAAGATGTGATTTTGTAGTTTATTCAGTGTTTTTAGTGTTCCATGTTCGTGTGATAGGCTGAGTTTGTATGAGTACGGAATATCGATACACGCATAACAGGTGGCGAGTGCGACCATCAGCGTTCTTCTTCTGAAAAGCGAAGTGCATCTAAGGATTTTTGAGATAGGTAGTGATTAGCTGTGTCTAGAATTATACTACATGAAATCTACCACTACTAAGAGAGGAGTAAGGAGTAGTAACATCATGATAATTACCTGAAGCTAACTTACTACTTTTCTCCTTGTAGTGGGCTAAAAGCATAGGATAACGGAAAAGGGTTTTTAGTAAATGTGTACAGCGTGAAGAGTTGGGCAAAATTGTAACCAGGGGACTATACATTAATAATGTACACAAAAAGCTCTCGGAAGGTTTTAATATGTGAAGTGGAAGCAACGGTAGGGAAAGTGCAAAAAAAAAAAGGAAAGAAAACAAGATAACTCTAGGACACGACCGTGGGGATAAGATACGCCAAAAACCGACTGAGAGGTGTATTTACAAAAGCCCGCTGCTGTTGACACGGATATTAGTGTCATGACCGAGCAGGCAGTGCGAATGTAGGGTCAACTGTTTGGGCGGTGAGGGAGGGATGTATTCTGAGAAACATCGATACAAACTACAAAAACCATGGGAGTAAGAAAATACTTCTAGTAACATCTTCATCATCGCCATTGGCGGATAAAGGGATGAGGAAAACCAGCATTAAAGCACGCTCCAGGTAACCCCATGTCGAAAAAAACACAAAACACTTTGGTAGCCCGAATTGTATTTTCCATACTCACCCTGCACGCCTCGCTCACAGGGGAAGGACGGCCCCACCGAGTTGGTGGCGAAGCACAAGTAGGTCCTCGTGTCCTCGGCGCGGGTGTCCAGGGTGAGGCGACTGCGCAGCCCCTGGCTCACAACGTTCTCCTCGACGGTCTCGTTGGAGTTCTCGATGCGCCAAGTGAACGACACCTGGTCCGGGTTGGCGCGCACCAGGCACGTCAGCACGAGCTGCCCGTCCACCTCCTCCGACGTGATGGTGCACTCGGGCTTGTCTGCGGCGAGCACGGCAGGTGTAAGGAGGGGGCGAAAACAAAGGGGGGGGGGGGATAAGCAAGTCCGAGTAAACTACTCACATTGCACGTCGATGCGGATGGTGGTGGACACCGAGCCGTGGCGGTTGAACGCCGTGCACGTCCAGTTGCCGCTGTCCTTCCGGTGCATCGACTTGTTGAGGATCAGCTTGTGCCGCTTGATGACGGCGCTCTCGTCCGTCGAGTTCTCGGCCCGCCACTCGTACATGGCCTCCGGGTAGGCGCGCGCCGAGCACAGCACCATCTCGGGCACGCGCGACTCCACCACGGACACCACCTGCTTGGAGACGGTGATGTTCTCGGGCGGGTCTGGAAACGAGAGAGCGGAGCGGGCGCTTCAGGTCGAGCGCCTTACGAGGGCCGCATAGGCCGCCCGGCGAGCGCGGGCGCTCGGCGGGCCGGTGGCGCTGGAGGCGCTGGACCCATCATCATCATACTCACACTCGACGCCGAAGATGGTGTGGCTCTTGACGCCCGCGGCCACCTCGTTGCTCGAGCTCTGGCACGTGTAGTTGGCGTTGTCGTGGACGCGGTCGAGCTGGCCGCCGGGCCAGGCCGCCATGTTCCAGATGAGCGTGGAGCGCTGCGACTCGAAGTCGCCGCGGTTGTAGTCCGGGTCCACGACCGCGTTGCGCACCGAGTACATGGGCACGCCGTCGTGCCGGATGTGCTCCACCGCCTGGCCGTTCTTGAGCCAGTTGACGTCGCACAGCGGCTGGCACTCCACCTGGCAGGTGATGTTGATGTGCGTGGCGTTGAAGAGCGCGCCCTCGTACGGGTTGAGGCGCTCGATGAAAGCCGGCGGCGCTGCGGGTGGGGAAAAAAAACAACGTCAATGCAACGTCAGTCACATGCAGATGACCTGACCGCGACGTGCTCGCGACGGGGTACACACCCAGCACGTTGATCTCGGCCGTGGCGCTCTCGCCCTCGCCGCCCTCGTTGACCGCCAGGCAGGTGAGGTTGGAGCGGGTGCGCAGGTTGACCGGGTTGATGGTCCAGTTGGCCGACGTCACGTTGTTGATGGGCACCGAGTTGCGGAACCAGCGGAAGACGGTCGTGGGCGGCCGGCCCAGGTCCTGGACGCCGCAGCTAAGCGTCACCTCGCTGTTCTTGACGACGCGCTTCGGCGAGTGCGTCAGCTCGGCGGGGCCCGGCGGGTCTGCGCGGATAAGGGTACAAAGGTGAGTACTTCTTTGTAGCCGGTAGAAACGCACGGCGGTAGAAATACAGTTACTCCTGCGTACAGTAGACGATGAGCTGCGTGTCTTCCGAGACGGGGCCCCAGCCCGCCTCGTTGGCGCCCTCGCACGAGTAGTTGCCGTGGAAGGAGCGCTCCACCGCCTCGAGCAGCAGCTTGCTCGGGTCCACGTCGCAGAACGAGTCGCCCATGGCCGTCGAGTTGCAGTCGGGCAGCTCCTTGAGCAGCTCGCCGTCCAGCAGCCAGCGCACCGCCTGCAGGGTCTGCAACACGCAAAGGGGTGAGTGAGGCGGGGTCGGGAGGAGGGGGCGCTCGAGTGGGGGGAAGCCAAGACACGCGGGCAAGCACCAAACAGGCATCGGCGGCATCCACAACTCGTACGGTGTAACACAAGGCAGAGGGCAATCACGCCCTTTCATATGTAAAAATGTGTTTTCTGTTTAAAAATAAAATAATTATCGAAAAATATTATCGAGGGAAAGCAGATAATCAGTATATTTAATAGCATTCAACAAGGCAGTAAATATTGTTATTGGTCGCTATTAGTCTTCTTCGTCGTTCCGTGCAAATGAGTCGAATTACAAAAAAAATGTTATTGAAATAAAAATAAGAATAACAAAAAAAATCTTTAGTCGGTGATCCTGCAAAGTCACCAAAAAGCTGGAAGCAAACCACCACAAAAAAATCCGCTCCACTCGCCGCGTTACCTCATCCGGGTCTACGAGCTCGCCGTCCTTGTACCAATGCACTTCTTTCAGGGTCTGCGAGGGCAACGACAGGCAGATAGACATCAATCAAGACAGGAATTTGTCATGATCTCCTCGATCTCCTTGTGAGTCACATTGTCGCCGTTGTCATTTTATTCTCTTTCCGTCGAACATGTCACATCACGTTCCTGCTCACAAACTCAAACGGGGTTGTCTTACCTCTGGGTTGCCAGCTTCCACCCTGCAGATGAGGGTGATGTTCATCTTGGCCAGCTCACTCACAGGCGTCGGAGGGTCCATCTCCAGCCGAACTACGGGACGGACTAGAGGAGAAAAGGAAGAGAAGTGTGTAAAGTTTTCTTCTTAAAGATCACAAATCACAAATTCAAAATTTCAGTATAAATACTTTTTTAGCGTAAACAGGCCCTGGGCATGTTCTTATATACGCTGCCACTACTCACACTGAATGTTGACGTAGACGCCGTTGGAGGAGTTGCCCTTGCCGACGCTGTTCTCCAGCTCGCACGTGTACAGCCCGTGGTCGTGGCGCGTCGAGTTCTTGATGAGCAGCGTCGTCTGGTCCGGGGTGCTGCCCTCGTAGTGGTCCTTGCGCTCCAGGACGATCGGCTCACCGTCGCGCCGCCTGCAGGGACACAGTTATTTGCCTTTCATCACACCGCCAGGAGAGAGAGTGGGGCTTAAATTCCTCATCTCGTGGAAATAACGCGGAGGAAGGCGTTCATCGGCCGGGGCCGGTGAGGGTCGGAGAGAGGGGGGG